GCTAAGAATGCCGATGGTCTAAAGAAGGAAGAGACGCTGAACATGTTTTAAAGCATGGTTTGTAAAATGGAGTATTAGAGAAATGCTTTAATAGTTGTAGTATTCATAATTTGGAAATAACCCAATAAACTATTGCGAAGTTTATTGCATATATTAATATATTTTTTGGACAACTGCATATATTTGTGTGTGTGTGTGTGTGTGTGTGTGTGTGTGTGTGTGTGTGTGTATTAAACTATGGGTAGAAACCATGTGTCGATGATGATTCTTCTTAACCTGGAAATAGGAGCCTAGAAAAATTCATTGCTAACAATCAATTTGCATGACTAATTTTAATTATGAAGATATACTTTATATTTTAATGAAAGTATAGCTAACCACATGGCACTGGCTTTTCAAACATTAAGTTTTCTTAAAAGAAGTAAATGTCACGAAAGAGAAAGAAAATTACATTAGTGATGGGAGAAACTTTGTCAATTACATTAGTGATGGAGAAACTTTGTCCCTACAAGTGGTCTGTTATCACATCAAGGGCTAGTATTTTAATTATCATTATATTGTATAGGTCATAAAGTAACTCAAAATATAGGTTAATGATGACAATAAGCTTTGTCATTTTATGAAGTGCAACTTCACTTCATGGACCACATTTTCATTTTCATTGTATTAGTCCAATAAAAGAGAATACCACAAAAGAACATTAGTGACAAGAAGCTTGCGCGGATACATTATCCCTTCACTCTTCATTGCACATGAAACAATTATATATACATTACCTCCAGTCCTAAATATAAAAGCTAGTTGACTAATTTAAATAGATTAAGAAAAAAAAGTTAAGTTAGTTATTTGTAATAAATAGGTAGTATATTTTTATGTGTATTTTATTATGTATCATCTTCCTTTATCCAAAATATTTTCCAGCAATTTTTTCTAATTTATTCCATTATCACTGTGTTATGTTGTGTTCAAGTTTGACATGCTACAACTAGAGATTACTCAAGAAAAAAAAAAATGTTAGCGAGAAGATGTCAAACAAACAAATATGTAAGAAGTCACTGGAAATAGGAAAAATATTGGTGTGCAAGACGTCAAATTTGTATTTATATATCACATATGAATGATCATATCAGAAAAAAGATAATCTTATGAATGATATAAGAAACAGCTTGATTTATTTATATTGGTAATACTTGATCACTTCTTAAAATCCTTAAAATTATAGGAGCAGGGATCATTTTTAAGTTAAAGCAAAACTCTGAATGAAATTTTAGAGATTCTCTAATTTTTTTCTGAATATAAAAATTGAAATAATCAATATAAAAATTAGCCAGTCTGGTATGATATCATTTTTTAGAAAGAAGAAAGATACATACCAAATTGTGCGCGCAGAAACAAAAACCATATCAAGATAGCATGCCATATAAAATAACACTAAAAAGAATTAGAACAAAGGTGTCCATACTTGCCTAGTCTAAAAGCAGAACAATATTGCATAAATAGTCTTAATTTGAAATTTAAATTAACACTCATTTAATTTCTTTTATAGAAATAAATTTAGTAGGTGACCATGAATTAAAAATTACATTACTTTGTTTGATGGTATGAAAATGTTGCGCAGGAAAAAAAATAGATACCATATAATTTAATCTAAATTCTAGAAAATGGCACCTAGACATGTTCTAAGAATCTAAATAACATCTATCTTCTTCGAAGAATTTAGGGAAATTCTAAAATTTATAAAAAAAAAAACTAGAAATTTCCAGTAAGTCTTAATAATAATAAACTTATTAACCTTAACATTACCATGTGTTGTGTCCACTACCAATGGAACCAATAATCCAGTGTGAAGTGTTTCACTTTCTAAAGGGGCTTAAAGAAGAATGATTCTTCTGGTTTGAGGTTCCAACGGGCTCTGGCAGCTTAAATTCTTTTTATTTTTTTAATAACAAATAATAAATGAACGGGGGAAAAAAAACCACCCTGGGAACCAGGCTATGAAATTTTGACATGCAAACTTGAAATAATAAAGAAAATAGTCAGGCCATATAAAAAAGAATTAATAAAGAAAATAGTAACAAGCCTGTGATCCGACAATATTATTCGGTTTACCTCTATTATTTCATTCCAAAAAATAGACTACATTTTAAAATCATTTAATTGCGCATAAAACTTAATCTATGAACAACCAACACATTGAATAATTTGATAAAAGAACCGCCTCGACGTAGTTTGGGCTCAAAGAAACTCTGAAATCATAAGAATCTGTGAATTCTGATAATTATATTTATATTTCAATGTTTGAAATAAAATATTTTCCTATTCTTTCGTGCTTAATGTTTAGCTCTTTTATTATAACAGTATGTTTTATGGAAGTATAATATGACGGTTGCATTTTTCTTATAAACATATCTATCGATTAGTATTACAATTTTTATTTTATCTTGACATCTAAATTCATTCGTTATTTTCCAGAAAGAAAAATCTAATAAGCAAGGAGGGGGGGGGGGGAACCTGCACTAGTGCAAAATACTAATTTAGCTTCTACTTTTGGTGTCAGTTATAGAGGAAACAGAAGTTGTATGTTGTTTCATCACTTTTCGCTTCTGACCTGCTTAGACCTGAAGCCATAAACTTACATATGACTTCTGTTCAATTTTGAACAGACTCCATAAATATACCAAATAATTTTAAATTATATTTCATCATTTCATATAATAGCATTAGGACATCTTCTTCTATAAGGTATAAAGGCATTATTACATACTATGGTTTCATTTTTATTTAATTATTTCCATTAAAAATTTTAATTATTTAAATAGAAATAATATATTTTTTAAATTCTTTTTATTGTTTCTTTTTCACTAACTGAATGGTTTTTAATGAGAAATTTTCTTTTAAATGATTTTATACAATTAAAAACTTGATTTATTTCAAACTTAGATGAAGAAATTATCTATTTATATTAGGTACAATATCTAGTATATATCTAACCAGATGCTGTGTGAAATTTTTTTTTTTTTAGTACAAGCTGTACGTAATTTTTTTAAAGGCCTACTGCGTCTGGCCCATTACCAGCAGCCGTATGGTGCATATGGCTTCAGTCCCATTTCGGGCCTGAAGCCATAACACGTTCAGCAACTTAAAAAAAAAAAATCCCCGCTTCCCTCCATATTTTCATCAGCGCGCCTTCCAGTCTTCCGTGTACAGTCATCAGCTCTGGGTTCTTCTTGCCCCGTTCCTCCATGTCTGTCTTTGCGGGTGTTCAAGTGGGTCTCGCCGGAAGTTTAATCAGTGTCCCGTGGGTCTCGAGCTGATCGTTTCCCCCCTTCCCTCCATATTTTCATCAGCACGTCTTCCCGTCTTCAGTATATGGTCATCAACTCTGGGTTCTTCTTGCCCCATTCCTCCATATCCGTCTTCGTGGGTCGTCGAGTGGGTCTGGTCGGAAGTTTAATCAGTGTACCGTGGGTCTCGAGCTGATCGTCTTGCCTTCCTTTTGTTCTATCTTTGAATTGGTTCCGGGTCTCGCCTTCTTCGTTCTGTCTTCAAGGTAGCAGTTGGGGCTGGTGTTCTTCTTCTTCACGTTGGGTTCGAACAGGTTCGGGGGTCTCATCTTCCTCTTTATCTATCTTTGGGTGGCACTTGGAATCTTCCTTCATCGACATTTGGGTATCACCGAAGCTGCTCTGTTCTTTCCTCCTCACCGTCGTCGCTGATGCCTTAGGTCTTGTATATCTCAGTGCCGTGCGTTGACAGTAATTTGTTTGAAGCTTAGGTTCTAGTGAGTATTTTAGTTTTGCTGATTGCTGAAACTGAAAAATTGTTTGCTCTGTTGAAGAATCGTGTGATTGCCGTATACTCTGTTCGTTCGGTTTTTTTTTTTAAATTGTTGCTATGGGATTTTCCACCAGCCTGCTGTTTATTGTACATAGAATGCTAGTTTGGCAGCTGTAAATGAGATGAGAAATTATTTGGTTGAATGGGTTTTACTTGCTAACGTGATGACTAATCCTTACCGTGACTTAGGAGTCGAAATTTTTGTTCTACACGAAGGGATGCTGTCCAGAATGTGAATGTCTTTTTTTGTATTAAATGTCACTATGTTATGCGAAAATTACATTCTGATCAAACTAGGAAAATGGAGCAGTGGTCATTGAACCAATTCATTTGATAGAAACAAAAACGAATAAAAGTAAAGGAATGAGGTATAGCTCGCATCGCTTCCATTCTGACCCTATTCAGGAATGGGATAAGGGATGTCGTTGGTGCATCTTCTTCTGTTCCTATTGTTCTTGATTGATCTGTTGCTGAACCAATACCAGTCAATTTGATAGAAACAAAAACGAATATATAGATGAGCTGTTATACTTGAGGACTAAATATGTTTGATTTGATTTAATTTATTATATATGTCGAAAAGGGACAAAAATAGATGATAATGTGAAATAGAATTGATGCATATGCATAATACTTGATGTAACATGCACGAAATTACTTTGGTTACAAATAAATAATGCATTTTTTTATAATATATAATTTCTCATATTAATAAAATTTTAATCATTCTTTGACCAAAGTTTTTTCGATGATATTTGATAATTGTCACTTTTTTTCTAGAGTTAGTATTGATGAGTATTATTGAGATTATATTTGTTAGAATATCATATTGACTCTGAAAACTTGCCCTGTTGTTTCATTTGGTATCATATTGCTTTGAAGTTGAATTAGAACTTATAGAGTTTGAATGAAGTTAGAATTTGTAATGTATAGCTTTGAAGTTGAATTAAATTTGATCAGAGTTGATAAAAGTCACATTGCTCTGGAGTTAGTGTAAATGAGAAATACCATTGAGATTTGCTGGAATATATGTTTGATTAGGAGATAACAAGGTTAAATTGAGGGTTTAATGCATGGGAGACGTCATTTTTTAAGCTGTCATGCTGCTGGGTTTTTTATTACCTTAAAAAATAATAAGGTGTTGATATTTGATTTAGGTAATCATGGATCGTAGTTGGATTGACGCTCTACGAACAAGTGACGAATATGAGCGTGGGGTGGATCAGTTTTTGGAATTTGCAAAGAATAATGTTCCTAATAACAATGGATTGTTTTATTGTCCTTGTGTTAAATGTATGAATGGGTTGCGACAAGTTACAACAGAAATAAAGGATCACTTGATTTGTTTTGGGTTCTACAAAGCATATAGACAATGGGTATTGCATGGTGAGTCTAAAAAACATAAAGTGTGCCAGATTGAGAAAGATGATATGGATATGGATGAGCGAGTGGAAGATATGATTCATGATGTAGGTGTTGATGTTGTTGAGCAATTACATAAATATAGTAACTTGTGCAATGATGCCGAAAAGCCTTTATATCCTGGGTGTACAAAGTACACAAGGTTGACAGCAGTGTTAAAGCTAGTCAACTTAAAAGCAAAAAATGGGTGGAGTAATAAGAGTTTCACAGAGTTGCTTATATTGTTGAAAGATATGCTTCCAGAAGGTAATATACTTCCAGATCGTAATTATGAGGCAAAGAAGATATTGTGTCCAATGGGATTAGGATATAAAAAGATACATGCTTGCCCCAATGACTGTGTATTATATAGAAAAGCATATGATGAGCTGGATGCATGTCCGGTCTGTGGGACATCACGTTATAAAGTAAAAGAGATGGAGGGTGGTGATGTTATTTCTAAGGGGCCTCCTGCAAAGGTATTGTGGTATCTTCCTATAATACCAAGATTTAAACGTTTATTTGCTAATGCAAATGAGGCAAAGAAGTTGAGATGGCATGTTGAAGAAAGGAAAACTGACGGAATGCTTCGACATCCTGCTGATTCTTCTCAATGGAAAAGGTTTAATCAATTATTTTCTGAATTTAGTAATGAGCCTAGGAATCTTAGGCTTGGACTTTGCACAGATGGGATGAATCCTTATGGAAATCTTAACAGTCAACATAGCTCATGGCCTGTTCTCTTAGTGATTTATAATCTACCTCCTTGGTTGTGTATGAAACGCAAGTATATTATGTTATCTTTGATGATTTCTGGCCCAAGACAGCCAGGAAATGATATAGATGTTTATCTAGCACCGTTGATTGATGATTTGAAGATGATGTGGGAGGTAGGTGTAGATGTATTTGATGCATATCATGAAGAGTCTTTTAAGTTAAGAGCTATGATTTTTTGCACAATAAATGATTTTCCTGCTTATGGAAACTTATCCGGATATAGTGTTAAAGGGCACAATGCATGCCCTATATGTGAAGACAGGACATCTCACCAGCAGTTATCACATGGAAAGAAGACAGTTTATCTTGGTCATCGAAGATTTCTTGAACCAGGACACCCTTATCGAAGGAAGAAAAAGGAATTTAATGGCTTTCAAGAGTATAGGGACCCTCCAGAGCCACTTACTGCAGACCAAGTATATGAACGGGTGAAAGACATTGATACAGTATTGGGTAAAAGCCAAAAAAGAGTAACTAAGAAGAATCTCTGGAAGAAGAAGTCTATCTTTTTTGATCTCCCTTATTGGAAATATCTTGAGGTAAAGCATAGTATTGATGTGATGCATGTGAAAAAAAATGTGTGTGAAAGTCTAATTGGAACACTATTAAATATAAAGGGAAAGAGCAAGGATGGTAAGAAAGCAAGATTAGACTTACTTGAAATGGGGATTCGAACACACTTGGGTCCAAGAACTGATGGAAAGAGAACTTACATGCCCCCAGCCTATCATACTTTGTCGAAAAGAGAGAAAAAAAGCTTTTGTCAATGTCTACAAAGTATTAAGGTGCCACAAGGATATTCTTCAAATATCAAAAAGCTTGTATCAATGAAGGATTTAAAATTAGTAGGCATGAAGTCCCATGATTACCACATTTTGATGCAACAATTCTTACCAATAGCAATTCGAGACATATTAGAGAAAAAGGTGAGAAATACAATAATTAGATTATGTTCCTTCTTCAATGCCATATGTAGTAAAGTCATTGACCCAGAGAAATTGGATGAATTGCAGAATGATATTGTCATTACCTTATGCCAACTTGAAATGTACTTTGTGCCGTCATTTTTTGATATCATGGTACATCTAATTATACATTTGGTGAGAGAGATAAAGTTGTGTGGCCCAGTTTATTTGCGTTGGATGTACCCATTTGAGCGATATATGAAAATCCTTAAAGGGTATGTGAAGAACCCACATCGACCTGAAGCGTCTATTGTTGAAAGATATGTTGCTGAAGAGGTTGTTGAGTTTTGTACTGAATACCTATCTGGAATAAAACCTATAGGACTTCCTGAGTCTCGCCATAAGGGAATGAGAGTTGCAGGTCAAGGGACGCGAGGGTTTAATGTGAGGCCTATGAAGCGTGATGATGTAGAACAAGCGCATATGTACATCTTAAATAACATTGATGAAGTTCAAGATTACTTGTTTGAGCATAAAGAGGAATTAAGGGTTCAAAACCCTAAAAAGGCAGATAAATGGTTGCTAAGTGAGCACAATAAATGTTTCTCGCTTTGGTTTAAGGCAAAGGTAAAGCAAGATCGTCAAAAGTTCAATGTTTCTGATACAGTAAGATGGCTAGCTAGTGGGCCTAACTATAATGTCACAACTTGGAGTGGATATGACATCAATGGCTATTCATTCTACACAAAATATCAAGATGATAAGAGCACTATGCAAAACAGCGGTGTTATGGTAGTTGCAGAAGCAATGCACTTCTCTAGTTCTAAAGATAAAAATCCTAAATGGGCATCCATGCAGTATTTTGGGATTATTGAAGAAATATGGGAAATTGACTACTATAAATTCAAAGTGCCAATTTTCAAGTGTAAATGGGTTGATAGCAATAATGGTGTTAAAATAGATATGTCAAGTCTTGCACTGATAAATCTTAACAAAGTAGGTCATAAGGAGGATCCTTTTATTATGGCAGTTCATGCAAAGCAAGTCTTTTATGTCACAGATCCAATTGATAAAAATTGGTCCGTGGTTCTACATGGGAAAAGCCTGATTGCTTATGAAGAGAATGATGAATCTTATTGTGACATTGGTGAGACTCCTCTTTCTATGTCAACCATGCCTCAATTGGATGAAGAAGATAAAGAAGATGGTGTACATAGCATAACAAGTGAGCATGGTGATAAAGAAGATGATATGTATGGCGTAAGGACTGATCATGATGAAGGTTTATGGGAGACTTAATCATAATTAATCAAACTCTTATGACAACAATATTAGTAGAGGTGTTTTTAACTTTTGTGTAAGCTTTTCAACATCGTTTCTTTTGATATGTTTGATTATAATTTTAATTTATTATTCTTTTGTTATTGAACTCATTTATATTCCTATTTTCAAAGGTATACATGGAGAATTCATCCAGTATTGGCAACAAAACCACAAAGTCAAAAAATTGTAAAAGAGGCGTCACACGGCTTACTAAATTAGCTCAAGCAGATGGAGGCAAGATTCATATTGAATTTGATAAGAGAGGAGAGCCAATTGATTGGAAAGAAGGGAACACATTTAGAAGTTTTGTTGCACTTGTTGCACGTCAAAAAATTAGCATTTTGATAGATGAATGGGATAAAGTGAAACAAAATGATAGAAATGAAGTTTGGGATACTATACTGGTACCTCTCATTGCATCCTATATCTACTTTTTATTTAGCTATTATATTGTAGTATATGTTATTACTAATTTTATTGCTTACATGTGTTCCTTTTGCAGATTACTTATGACATACCTGATACAATGTTTATGAAGGAGAAGTGGCTCTCTTATGCAGCAGCGCGGTGGAGGGACTTTAAGTCCAAACTCACAAGAAATTATATATTTAATGAAAAGGGCAGTGAAAGTGATCATGATGTTGATGATGACAGTAACTTTGAAAAGCCTTGGCAGAAATACTCATATATTGATGAAATGACATGGATGAAATTTGTTGAAAGCAGATACAATTCTGATTTTTTGGTAAGTAAAAGAAGAATTTGATGTTAAAGTAGTATTTATTTAATGTTTGCTTTTTTATAAATATTTTTCATTGTTTTATTAGGAAAAAAGAAAAAGAGGTAAGGAGAAACAGGAAAAAAATCTATACCCCCATACCTTGTCTCGTGGAGGTTATGCATTGCTGAACAACAAAATGATGGAAGAAAAATGGGAGGCTAAGAGACAACTTGCAGAGGCGAAGGATGATGGAGATGTTTCTCCTCCATCTCCTGTCAATCGTGCTCAAGCATGGAAGAGAGCTCGAATGAATAAGAAAGGGGAGTTTCTTACTGAAAAGGCTAGAGAAGTAGCAAAAAAGATTGTAAGTATTTTGTAATTAACAAACTTGTTATATGCTAAAGGAATAGTTTTCTGATTGCATTTCCTATTTACTTGTCATAGGACTCCTTGGAAGAAGCAGTTACTCAAGGAACCTTTGTTCCTACTGGTAGGCAGGATATCTTAACCACAGCATTAGAGAAGGAAGAGCACCCTGGCCGCGTTAGAGGATTACCAAGAAGTGTCGGTATTAGAGAATACTTTGGACCACCACCTTCTAATCACGGCCCAAAAGGTGTACCATTACAGCAGGTGCAAATGATGATAGAGGAAGCAGAAAAGAAAGCTGATGCAAGAGTAACAGCACTAGAAAAAGATTTTCAAGAAAAAATTATGCAAATGGAATCAATGATGAAATCTTTTAGTTCGATGCATTCGCAGTCTTTGCAAGCACAACAACCTTCTATGCCTCTAAGTACAAAAGGTAGTTGTGTGGCAGAAGAAGTGTCATGTATGCTTTATGTAGAGGATCCTAATAAACGTTTAGTTGCACATGGAAAGGTATACAAATTTGCAACAAGGATCCATCATCAAGAGATTCTAGATTACCAGGTGAAGGTGGTGGTTGAAGAGGTTGTGGATGCTAATGCATTAGTGCCATTCCCTGATGAGGAGGTAAAAACAGTGGGACAAGCTAAACATAATTTCATTCTTTGGCTAAGGCATCTAGTTACCACTACCACTGAGGTATGAATTATTTATGATCTTTCACTTCCTAATTCACATGGTATGCATTTCTAATTTTATATTTGTCATTGATTAGGAAGTCTACCAATCAAAGGATTCTTTTGATTCAAATCCTCAACATGCTATTGAACGTAGTGCCAAACCAAAGCGAGATAGCTTGAGCCAGCTAGCTTTAGCTTTTGTTGATATGGACAATACTGTTCAACTAAATATGAGTAGAGAGATTGTGGGGCGAGCTATTGAATTAACAATCTTCAAGAGAGATGTTGCTGAATTTCTTGCTTTTGATTTGCTAAACATATCAATAATTCAATTTTGTCTCATGTAAGTATGAATTTTATTTTAACTTTACATATATGTTGTTTTTAATTTTCTTACTAACTTATTTTTCATTCTTATAGGTATCTCCACAATCTTTGCAAAGAATTGGGTAGGGCTAATAATTATGGATTCTTATGTCCACATCATATTCAACCAACCGGAAATACTTTCAGTGGGAGAACATCATACATTGGAAGTACGATTAAAGAAGGAAATAAAAAGTGTTGGTTTGCACCAATTATAGAAAGGTACTTCGTTCTAATTCACCTCTTAATTAAATAAAAACTTTCTTAATGATATGGTGTTAATGTTAACTCATGTTGTAGTGGTCATTGGAGGCTTGCTGTTATCTGTCCATCTGACTGGACCATATATTGGTTTTGTTCTCTGCAATGGGAAGTAAGTGAAGATATGAAAGGAGTTCTTGAATCGTAAGTATTGTGTGTAACTTTATTTTGCAAATATATTATCATTATAAATCAATTTCTTACAAGTATTTGATATAAATAGATCTTTGAAGATGCACTCTAAATTGATGAGAAAGAATAGCCGAAGTTTTGTCAATTGGGTTTATGTAAAGGTATGTATTTTAAATTTAAACAATGGTGAGATTAATTATATTGATCACTCTTGTTTTGTGTATATTTGTAGTGCCATAAACAACTAAAAGATGTGGAATGTGGATATTATGTGATGAGGTATATGTATGAAATCATCTCTGGGGGTATAACCAACTCATTCCACAAGGTAATAATATTATATGAAAATAATAATTCTAGTATAAATATTGAGTTGTTTTTAATATTACTGATGTTACAATTTTTTCCATTTGGCAGCATTTTCAAAATTTGGACCCATATTCTGATTTACAGATGAGAGAAATACGCAGCATATGGTCAGAGTATTTCTTGAATTTAACAAAATTAGAATAGAAGGTGATGTATAGCAAGTTCTACATATTTATCCTTTTGTTAAACATGTTAATACTAGGTTCATACTTTTGTTGACAATTCATGTGGTTTGGTTGTAAAAAAACGTTGTAAATTGGTGGTTATATTTAATATTAGATATAGTTGGTTGTATTAACAGGTTTTTAAGTGCAATTATTATTTAATTAAAAATATTTTTAAAAAAACACTACCTAGACATATGGCTTCTGTTATAGCGTATAACAGAAGCCATAAGTTACCTACGGCTTCTGTTCTGCAGAGAACAGAAGCCATATGTCCAACCTACAGCTTCTGTTCTGCAGAGAACAGAAGCTATATGTCCAACGTATGGCTTCTGTTCTCTGCAGAACAGAAGCCGTATCCATAGGTCAATATGTATGGCCTCATTTATGCACAACAAGAACAAAAGCTGTGGGTCAATATGTATGGCTTCAATTATGCACAACATGCACAAAAGAAGTTATAATCGCGCACCTACGGCTTCTGTTCTTATAGAACAGAAGCCATAGGTCAATACATATGGCTTCAGTTATGCGCAACTGAAGCCATATGTATGGCAACCTACGGCTTCTGTTCTCTTACAACAGAAGCCGTAAGTCTTACCTTCCGCTACAGTTGCTTCCACTACAGTACATATATTGTAGCGAAAGGTTCTTTTTAACAGAAGCTAAAGGGGGTATTTTGCACTAGTGCTGGGAGCCGTGCTACAAAGTTGTCATCAGTGTTTTAAAAGTTAGACGGGATGTCAAACCGGAGAGGTCAACAGGTCACAGTTTATTTAGTCGGATCAATTGGATTAGCGGTTACGACGGCGGTGTAATAATTAAATTAAAAATAATATTATATGTTTATATAATAATATATAGATAAATAAAATATTAAGTTATCAATTAATTTAGGAGGACAATATTTACATCAAGTTTTTTATATTTATTATATCAAGTTCTCTAGTTAAACATGGTCATATGTTCTATATTAATTATTTTAAATAAAACAAAAATGAGTTAAATAATTGTAAATAAATTTTAAAGATTCATAAAACTAAAAATATAAACAATAAAAAACGAAGAGAATGGCTACAGCCTAACAAATCTACCTACAATCTTCATAACTCACATGTCCCCAAAATACGTTTTTCAAGAATTCTCACATGCATATACAGGTCTGATAGTCATTTTCTCTATCTTTCTTCTTCTCCATTCTCCACATTTTTCTCTGTTCTTCTTGGTCTCCGGTGGCAATGCTTCTTCTTTCTCTTTCTTATAAAAGAATGGCTAATTTTTCACGTTACCAGGTAAGAAGGGAAGTTGTAGATATGTGTTAATGTCAATGTTTATCTCTCATTCTTCTTCTGTTTTCTTCCTTCCCTCACTACAAAAAAACAGACTTTAGGCGACGACTTTCAGCGGCGACACCAAAAAGTCGCCGCTGAAATTAAGACTTTTAACGGCGACGAAAATGTCGCTGCTGAAAGTGGACCTTCAGCGGCGACATTTTTTGTCGCTGCCGAAAGTGGACCTTCCGCGGCGACTTTTTTTGTCGCCGCTGAAAGTTCGCCATTGAAACCAAGACTTTCAGCAACGACAAAAGTGTCACCACTGAAAGTGGACCTTCAGCGGCGACTTTTTTTGTCGCCGCTGAAAGTGGACTTTCAGCGGTGACTTTTTTCGTCGCTGCTGAAAGTTCGCCATTGAAACCAAGACTTTCAGCGGCGACAAAAGTGTCGCTGCCGAAAGTGGACCTTCAGCGGTGACTTTTTTTGTCGCCGTCGAAAGTGGACTTTCAGCGGCGACAAAAAAAGTCACCGCTGAAAGTTCGCCATTAAAACCAAGACTTTCAGCGGCGACAAAAGTGTCGCAGCCGAAAGCGGACCTTCAGCGGCGACTTTTTTTGTCGCCGCTGAAAGTATAATATAA